CCAATCTTTTCCCCAAATCACATGAAGACGGACATGGTGAATGCAGGATTGTTCATCACAGAATCCTGGTGTACTGTAGATAGCACAGGCTAAAGTCAAAAGAAAGGACAATTTAAGACAAAAAAAAAAATAGCCTTGCCTTTACTCACCAGGTTCTAAACTTCTAGAAATCTTTCTATAAAATGAAAATATTAATAACTTTAGATAAGTTCAGTGAATTTCATAAAAAATAGTTTTGTAATTATATAATATTTCAGTTACATCCCTAACCTTTTGAGCTTGATATCAGAAATGATATCTGTGCCTTACCAGTTACTTTTTTCTGCCTTGGGCTAAATAGATAGGCCAGATCTTTTGTGGCATATATTATGTTCCAATCTCTCATTTATTTATTTTATATAATCCAAAGACCAAGGCATGAAGTCCTAATAAAATAGGACATTAAAACTTCTGTAAACATGTCTTTGAGAACACAAATTTGTTTTATTTATCTATATCCCACTATACATCAAAAAGGAATGTAGATAAATTTTTAAATACATATAATACTCTCACTGATATTGTCAATAAAGAAATGAACATCAAGGGAAAATGAAGTCAACAAAACAAGGTAAAGTTTATGAAAAAAATGCATAGTGTGAGATCTTATACACCTACTATGCATGTGGGGCATGTACTTTGACAATAAGCTTCCTAACAATCAGCAAAGGCAGAAAGGGAAACTGGGCCTGTTGTGTGATTTACAAAATTCATACAACAAAAACAAGTTTCTTGGAAAAAATACCAATGATTCTTCGTGTGGATACATGACAGAAATTTCTTACAGGAAGATTGATTAATATTTTTCAGAAAAACAAGTTTTGATTCCATTCCAATTCATAAATATATGAATACTGAAGCAAGGAAAGTATTACTTGTAGCTAATTTGTTTTCAAATTTGAGATAACTGAGATTATATCTAAAGCCTCAAACATATGGAGCATGTGCTGCTGTACCTCTGGGCTGTATTCCTGAAATTCTAGTGAAGCTGTTAAGAAGCTTTGATGGAATCTACTTGAGTGTTATTGAAGTTTCTTTCTTTTTTAACTACACATTCCACATTTTAAATGGCCTTGCCTCCCTGAATTTCTCAAATCTTCTACACTGATAGTTGTAAACAATTCTTAATCATTAAAAACAAAAAANTTGCTACTCTATAACTGTAATTTTGCTACTGTTATGAATTGTAATGTAAATATCTTTTTGTTTTCCGATGGTCTTAGGCGACCCCTGTGAAAGGGTTGTTCGATCCCCAAAGGGGTTGCAACCCACAGGTTGAGAACCGCTGATCTAGAGCTTCTAGATTCATCATGGACTATACCTAATTATTATCATGATGAGTATTTACTATATATCAAGACCTGTGATCTCATTTAAAACACACATCAGGCTCAGAGAAGTTAAGAGACTTGCCCGAGATGACATAGCTACTAGTAAGTAGGAGAACAGTTACACATTCATATCTTTCAACTCTATATCTCACAGTTATTATGATATACTGCTTCTTGTCATTAAAACTAGATGACTACATTATGGTTTTCATCAATATTGCTGATTAAATACTGTTCCTTTATACCAGATGATCAGAAAATATTTCTCTGACACAGAACAGTATGAGTGGTATATCACTCGGGTTTGCCTTCAGATGTATGCATTCAGATGTAATCCAAAAAAAAAACACAAAATTATTTGAATAAATAAGGAATTTAAAAATTTTTTTCGCAAACAAGGAATCCAAATAGCAGGGCTGATAATACTATTTAAGGAGCCAAGTTACCTGTCTTTCTGTTCCCTGTTGTTAGAGTAAGATCCCCATTGTCACAGAATGACTACTGCGCCCCTAGGTTCATGTTAAACTTCAATCAGAAAGCAGCATAGAGGGAAAGCAAACGGCCATACCAGATGAGTCCTACCACTGCAATCAGAAAAGTAACAGCTTCCTCCAGACCCCACCCCCTAGATTCCTGCTTATATCTCAGAGGCCAGACTCAAGTCAAATGACCACCCTAGCTACAAGGAATCCTAGAAAATGAAGTTGTTTTGTTGTGTTGTTAAACCACCAAAACAAGTCTGGATTCTTTTTAGTAAAGAACAAAGGGGGAGAAAAAATATTGGTAGTTATTCAGTAGCAACTGTGACAAATAAATAAGTATAATAGATTCTAATTACCATCAATGAAAGATCAAGGACCCATTCATAAGCCCCAAATAACTAAAAATTGAGGTATTTGTTTCCATAAAATGAGTGAGCCATATTTTTTGACTGATTAGAATGGGTAATATTGGAGAAGTCAAAGATAACTCACACATTTTCTAGGTTTTAGCTGGATGTTGAGCCTAGTAAATAACACAAGGGATATGGGAGATACAAGAACAGCTGGTTTGGGGTGAAAGAATAAATTTGGTTTTGGCCACATTGAATTTGATGTACCTGCAAGATGACGTATGGAAGATGTCCTGTTAGAATCTGGAAATCCAAATCTGAAGGTTGGGAGAAAGGCGAGGGCAAACGATAAGGATTTACTAGTCATTACACAGTAGTTAAAATAATGGATTAGGTCCCCCTGGGGCAATATGTATAGGGAAAAGAAAAGAGGGCTAAAGATTGAAATTTTGGGAAAATATAGTTTAAAAGCAGGTTAGGGAAAGTGAAGCAGAAAAAGAGATTAAGGATAATCTGGGAGACAGGGGAGAAACTATGAGTTACATTATCTGAGGAGCCATTATGGAAAAGTTTCAAGAAGAGAGAGGACTTCAACATTAGATGTAATAGCAAAATTAAGAAAGAAGAAAACTAAAAAGATACTACTGGCTGGTAAATTAGGATTTTTTTCGTGGTTTTTGTTTGTTTTTGAGAATAGTGTCAGTAAATGGCATTGTAGATTAGGATAGGCAGAGAGCTCTGAGGAGCACAGTGGTAAATGCATTTGTTAAAGGTAAAAGCATCAGTCCACAGCTACCTGAAATCCCTAAACGTGGGATTTCATTATGAAACTGGCATTCCCATCTCTGAAAATTGTGAGGAATCAGTGGAAGTAAGTAAAGGATGATTTATTTCTCAAGGAACAGCCGATTACTAATAAGCTGAATTCCCACTGAGCCAAGCCTTTGGGAAAGTCATAATGGACTACTAGCAATAATTCTTCTTGTACAGATTCTCCAAGAAAAATTATTAACTTTATAAATGTCCTTCAGACCAAAAGACAACAGCTGGCTCTTTAGTAAGTGCTCATCTACAAACTAATGGCTACTTTTTCTGTAATTGTGGTTTTTTTTTAAGCTGTTCTTGCTGTTTTATTTTTCACAAAATTTCAGTGGATGGGCAATTTACAGATATGATGTTATTATCCCTTACTCATTGTCTCCTAAGGAGTCTTACAAACAATGCATGCATGTATTCCTAAACCCCACGCCCAGGGGTGTCATCCAGCTCTGTGTTCAGTGACCACTTAGTAACAAATCAGAAAACTCTATAAATCAACTTTTTCCCCTGGGATAGCTGGTTATTAAACATATACCAGTACACCACTGCCTACACCCACCACAGAGAATGAATTAGGTGACTAAATTCTATTCAGCTATCATCACAGTATTTTATACTCTTGTTACTTTATACTGAAGATAATACTCCAGCATTTAGCCCCAGTAAAACAAGCATTCCATTCACTTTTATTCATT